TTCTTGATTGTTTGAGGTATGATTGGAAAATATATCTTGAACCCTAGATCACGGTAAGAATATTTGTTACGTTAATTGCAAGGAATGGAATGAATGTATCAATTGCTTAACACCCTAACCCTAATGCTGGAAAATCTCTTAATTGTGTGAGGAATCAACATTTATTAGGTTTTCTTATGAATTTCATGTGTGAGGAATTAACATGGATGATTTGAGTAGGTGGCATCAACATTGTTAGATTAATTGACGTTCTTAATTGACATGGCCATTACAAAAGAGGGATAAGGAAGGAAGTCAATCCTAAGTACCTTTAATTGATATTTTCTCAACAATTTATAGTTATTTGTCATTTAATTTCAATTCAACTCTTATTTACAAAATTCAATCTGTTTTAATCTACTTAGTAAGCATAATTGGGAATTTCCATTGAAACCATTCCTCGTGGGATCAATTTTTATTTAATCGAAATACTATACTGCGATTGATAATTTTGGTACGCTTGCCAATAATTCAACACTAATTTCCTCTGGATTGTAATCCGTGGATAATTAGCTACGGATTGTGTCCGTTGGTAATTAGCTACGGATTGTGTCCGTTGGTAATTACACATGGATTACAATCCGTAGGTAATTACCACGTTCAAATTTACCTACGAATTAGAATCCGTAGATAAATCATTAGATAAATTTAAAAAATTTCACCTCACCACCACTGATTTAACTAAATTTTACCTGTTACATGCATATTACACACAACGTATTTAGATATCAAATTTAACAATAATATTCCATAACATTGATATGCACCAAGTGCATATTCGGATATCAAATACAAATCCTAATATTAGCATGCATCAAATAGTCATTCAAATATCTAAGAACATATAAATCCAAAGAAGTAATGTAATAAATATTATGACAATATTGTTTGAGTGTCTTAATAATTTGAGTAAGGTTCTTGTTCATTTTGAGGTTGCTTTGCAGAACCTGATTGTTGTTGATGTTGTAACTGTTGTTGTTACTGCTCTTGGTGCTCCTGTGATTGTTATTGCTCTTGTTGTTGTTGTGATCCTTGTTAGAAAGGTTGTTGAAATGCTTGTCGGGAATCAGGTGGAAGTAAAGGAAGGACAACACTGACAAGTGTTTGTAATTGGTGGCTCAATCTTTCATTATCCTCCCTATAACTAAGCACTTGTTCCTTTAATTGCGTAATCTCACGAGAATCAGTAGATCCTGAATATGAGAGGGTATCTCCAGGCCTAAAATTATGGGAAATTTCTCCAACACCGTAGATCCGACCTTTTTTGTTGCCACCTGCAGTAAGAACCCAACTTTCAGTCCTTATTCTCTCCTCCTCTATAGGATCTAATGGAGATTACTCGGTTTCAGCAGCACAGGATGCTGCCTCAGATCGAGCCTGAGAGTATCTTCTCTGAAATTCTTCCTATTAACATACAAATAAAAATTATGCATTATATACAACACATATCCATCATAACATATAAGAGAGTAATAGAGTAATATTAAATAAGTTCACAACTCACACGAATTTTTCTAGTCATTTCATCAACAAATTCACCATTAACCTTTCGTATATGAGTCTGTTTGAACACCTCATCAATATGTGCAGGACGATCCAACTCCTTTTTCTGCAAAAAAATAATAATTAATAACATATCATGAAGAAATGAAAGAAAGAAACTTTTGTTATAATTTCATATTTACCATACGAATGACAAGTTCGTGCATACTAATAGAACAACATGTGTGTAAACTGCCACCTGTCTCAGAAGTTCGATTCTTCTGAGCTTGTGCACACTTTGCACAATAATAAGTTGAGTTCCACTTGTTCAACAGAGCATTCCACACATCATCAAACATCCAATATGGCTTCTTTCCTACCTTTCTAGCATCTTTGAACATTTCAGATAGCCTATGTGAGGCCTTTGAGTGAAAATTCTTTCGAATCTTGTCCTCATCTTTAGGTCTCCAGGTGACCTTTCTCTTTGCAAATGATTTACACAAACAAACAAATAATAATAATTGTGTCAATGAATGTAAGTAATAAAAATAATTCATCATCCTAAATATAAGAAAACTTACTTTAAACCGCCGAAAGAATGTCTCTTTTTCAACATCGGTCATTAAACCCCATGTCAACCATGACTTAGAATATTGTTGCTTAATAGTCATTGTTATAGCTTGTGATGCAACCCGACAGGGATGGAACCTTCGCCAAAGAAGTAAATTAAATAATTATCACAATTTCCTAATACTTGCAAATAATGGGAATGATATAATTTTAACTTAATTCTTACTCTAGACCCTAAGGTGATATGATAGGAAAATCATTAATAGTCCACATCAAACTAGCCCTCATTACAAAATTTTGCTTCTTTGAAATATCATATGTTTCAATTCCTCTCCACAATTGTATCAAATCATCTATCAAAGGTTGTAAATACACATCAATACATGACTTTGGATTACGTGGACCGGGAATGAGGCATGTCAAAAACATATAAGGTCTGGACATACATATTTCATGAGGAAGATTATATGGGGTCATAATTACTGGCCAACAAGAATAGGGGGTGGCAGATGCTTGAATATATGGATTAAATCCATCAGAACATAGACCTAGTCTTACATTGCGTGGTTCAGCAACAAAATCTGGATAAACTTGATCAAAATACTTACAAGCTTTACCATCAGATGGATGACACAACACACCTTCTGGTCTTTTATTGTCATAGTGTCATGTCATTTGTCCAGCCGTTTGCATGGATGCATACAACCTCTTTAACCTCGAAATTATAGGTAAATAGAACATGCTCTTAATTGGAATTGGCTTATTTTTATGAGTTTCAACTTTTTGGGCATGATACCTTGGCTTATGACAAAATTTGCATTGTAGTAAAGCTCCATCATTCTTCCCGTAATCATTGTCATAAAAAAAACATACAACCATTAATAAAACAATTTATGATTTTAGCCTCAAATCCCAACTTTGAAAATAACCTCTTCGCATCATAATAGTTTTTTGGTAAACTATCTTTGTTGGGTGTTACATCCAAAAGCATTTTTATAATGAAATTTAAAGCGTGATTAGGAACATGCCAATTAGATTTGCAAGCTAACAATCTTACACATATGGACAATTTGGAGTCTAAAGCTCCTTCAAACAAAGGTTTATTCGCTTCCAACAACAAATTATAAAATCTTTGAGCTTCTTCATTTGGAGGCTCTTCCATGATATTTGACTCTGATGGTTGAAATGTTTCATGTTACCTAAGTGTGTCATACACCATGTCCTGCATTGCCATCAATGACTCATCTTCTGAAAAATGTAACCCACTACTTGAAGTATGTGTCCAATTTTTGTTAGCATGAGGCATTTGCTCACCATGATCAACCCAAACATAATAATCAGGCATGAAACCATTTTTATAAAGGTGAAGTTTAACCATTTCCATTGGCAAGATCTTTGTACATTGACATTTATTGCATGAACATCTCGTTTGGGCTTCATTTTGATAACAAACTTGTTGAGAAACTTTCATGACAAACTCTTCAACGTCATCAACAAAACTTTGTTTTAAACCACCTGTATTACTATGGCTTCGATCATGCATCCAATGGCGATTTGCATGAAATTGATCCATGTTCTACAAAATATGAACTTCATTGTTACACTAGTTAAAGTACAAACTTAGAATAGATTTTGACAAGTGTTTGGTAATGACCAATATAATAACTTGAAGGTCATTCCATGTAGGACTCATGTAACCCTCTTAGCCAACAAGGTTAGAATAACTAAATAACTAATCTCTTCTTCATAATATATGAAGATACAAGACTAACATTAACTTACAGTTCACTTCTTATAACTATATAACTGTTGAAATTGATATTCTTATAACTGTATAACAATTTAATATTCATCATAAATTAATAATCATCAATTATAATACAAAATATTCATCAATTTTAAATGATGATTGGTAATATGTATCCTGAATCAATGCAAACAAATTAAAAAATAATAATCAATCCTTCCACTAACCATGTTACATGCTACATTTACTGCCCTCGATCCTCACCAAATACAGTGACATCCATAGTCACCAATCAATCATTATTTAAAATTCAATATAGAAAAGTCAAAAGTAATTACTTACCTACTAACAAAGATCTTCAAATTGGATGAGCGACCACTTCCTTCTCTTTATCCTTTTATCTTTTGTGAAGCTTTAATATCAACAATGTCTACATTTTAAAAAGCTCCCATCAATTTGATAACATAAATTAAAATTTAGTTGCTAATATTATTATTATTATTATTATTATTATTATTATTATTATTATTATTATTATTATTATTATTATTATTATTATCATCTTATCTCATTTATCGTATTTATACCTTTTTGTCCCTATATGGTCCATTTCACATACCATGATAAAAAATGAGTCAAAGTAACCATAACATTATCTTTATTATTTTTCTTTTTTTATAAAAAATATTATTATTAATAAATTTATTATATATTTTATATTATAAAACTATTATTTTTTAAATAAATTTTAGGTTCTCAATATATTATCTGTTATATCAATTTATTGGGAATGTGGGTAAGAGAATTGCCAAATTTGAAATTATAGTGGAAGTAGCTTTTCTTAGAAGAATAAAGTTTTTCAGTGTGCTTATTTCTTTAGGGATGCTTCCTGTGAGACTCATTCTATTTATAATTTTATTTAAGGAAAAAAATTACCCAAAACTTCCAAACATCTATTTGACATCTTTAAAATAATTATATTTAAAACTATGATGTGCCAATTTCAAGGTACGGTGATTCTAGAAATCATGAGTGGAAGAAAAGTGCTTGATACTTTGAATTCATATGCGATTAACTGACAGATTGGATATGGACACTTGTGGAATCAGGAAATATGATGGAAATATTTGATGAGTCAATAAGAAAAGGGCCCCAAAAAATTATGGAAAGGTTTGCTATTGTTGGCATGCTATGTGCTCATGTTGTGGTAGCTTTAAGGCCTACTATTACTAAGGCCCTTAAGATGTTAGAGGGTGACATTGACATTCCCCCATTACCTGACAGACCAATGTCAATCATAAAACTGATCATTCAAAGTTAATATACAGGAATATAAATCATGACCCAGTAATTATGGCGAGCTTTTGAGACTTTAATGCAAAATGTCATGATTCTAATGAAGAAGTTAGAAGTACAAATATGCAAATACACAAGGCGGAGCAAAAATCTTTCGTGGTTGAGTTGAGTCAAAATATGAAGAGTGAAATAATAATTGTTGGACCAGACATAGATTTCTTAATCAACGACTTCTGTAATTGCTAAATATTTTCAAGAATCAAATCTATAGAATGACACACTTTGCCTACACTTTTAGTTGTAGAACAGACATGTATTGGATTAGCTAGTACAGTGATAGGAGACCAGACCAACCACCTAGTATTTGCAATTTGTCAGGACAAAACGAAACCAACATAAACAAAATAAGTATCCCTCCTCTTACTCCTGTCAATTCCTCATTTGACAAAAGAGAAATAAAATCATATTCAATCATGACCAAACACTAAACCCACACATTCAGAGAAACATAAAGATGTCCACATAATTTCACACACAATTAGTTTCAACCACTAGCTACCAGCTACCCAAATCAAACTAACAAATTCAGTCCAAAACATCAAGCATATATAAAAGAAAAATAAACGAAATCAGCATAACAGCAAAATAAGTATATCTCTCTTCATTCAATGAGGGAGAATCCAGACATGGACGAAATCCAGACAAGCAGTAAAATAATCAAACATCCTCGGCTCGGACAAAATTGTGGGTACGACTAGTAGATGACTCGTAGGTGATGATTTAGATTGCAAGGATGGTGGTCGCGGAGAGGGCTACGACTGGTGCAATGGTGATTTGGGTGTGATAGAGGAGTGGTGATTAGGACGTGGTGGAGCTTAAGAGAGGCTAGCGAAGACAGAGGGGCACTTGGCCTCAATGGCGGAGGCGTGGGTGGATGCGACGGTGAGGGGAGAAGGGGAAAGAGCGTGGCAACGATTGTACCGCGCAAATCTAGGGTTGTGCGGTGATGGTCACGATGATGGGTGTTGGTTAGTGGTGGTCGGTGCAGGGAGTTGGGATGCTTGGTGTATGTGAGTGAGGGCGGACTGGGAGGGCGGTGAGCCGCGACTAGGGTTGCCGGGAGGAGAAGGCTCCCATGAAGGCCTTGAGTCTCGTGGGGTCAGATTGAAGGGGCTAGGGGCACGTCTGGAGGGTGAGACCGCGGAGCCTAGGGGTGCAGTGGTTGGGGTTAGCCGGGGGGTGGTGGTGGTGGTGAGTGAGGTCGGGACAGGGGAGGGAGGGGTTGGGGTTAGCCGGGGGGGGGGGGGTGAGTGAGGTCGGGACAGGGGAGGGAGAGCAGAGTTTGGTTCAAAAGGAGGGGGTGGTCGCGCGCGCAAAGGGGATGAAAGTTTACATGTTTTTTTTTTTTAATTACACATCCATAGGTATATGTGTAAGTAAAGTAGTAAATAAACATTATCTATCTCCTATATCCATAAATAATGCATAATCATCTCATCCGTAGATAAATTTTGTAGCTAATGGATAATTAACATACGAATTAAATTCCGTATATAATATATATTTTACCTACGAATTGTTATCAGTTTAGTGATACAAGTCTAAAGGATGAATGAACATAAGATGCATGGAAGTTGAATGGAAGATATTTAGATAATATTAAGTCTTTCTATATAATTTGCAAAACAATTGATGTAAAACAATTTTTTGTAAACTTTTTTAATTTATAAAAAATGCTGCCACAATTTACTGATGTTAATATCTGATATCTGATGTAAAATTATATATTTTCACTGGTTCCAGTAATTTATAAACTAGCCAATAATATCTCTATCGTAGAACAAAAAGGAAATAACAAGTGAAGGGAATCCATGATAGAGAAGCATGAGAAGAGAGAAGCTTTATGTTTCTCTTTTCTGATTTGACCAACAAGTTGGAATGTGTTATGGCAAACAAGACCCTTTATATAATGGAATCTATATATATATATATATATATATATATATATATATATATATATATTGCTTACATGTGCCACAAACAAGACCCTTTTTATAGCAACAAAAAAAAAAAAAAGGAAAAATTGCTAAAAAGGGCAAAATGGTTGATAAAACATTCATATTCACATTCCAAATTGCTAAGCCTTTCCCTCTTGGTTATTTTTTGTGGGAGGCTCTCTAATAGGCATGGTTATTACAACTGAGGAAAGCTTGGACTCTTCTTTCTGACCATATTTTTCTTCAGTAAGATCATTGGTGCCATCAATCATATTTAGCCCTGCAATCACAGAAATTTGAGCATCCTTTACAGGCAGGGGAATTTCATCTGCCACTTTGCTCTCTATTTGTTCTTTGTGCTTTCCCCATAGAACTGAGTATAAACCTATAACAATTAAGATGGCACCAATCACTCTGCAACCACAAGGAAAAACATAACCTTGTTAGTTTGGATGGATAGATTGGTATATTATACTATGAACAAGGTGAATAGAAATTACCCTCCAAGATAAATTTGTTCTGCAAGGATAAAGGAGCCCATGATGGCAACAATGATCATCATTAAAGGGCTAAAGGCAGTTGCAAAAACAGGTCCTTTCTTCTTAATTACAAGTCCTTGTACATAGTATGATATGCTTGATGTCACAATCCCCTAGTAAGAGAAAGTACAAATCACATGTGTTATAAACTGTACGAGTAAAAGTCCAGAAAAGGAACTTTATTATAATAAAGTTCTTATACTAATTCTTACAGCATATGCAGCAGCAAGTAAGTTCATATCCCAGCCAATCCTCCATACAGAAGGGTTGTGTTCAACAACAAAAGTAACAGCAATAGCTTGAATAGTTCCCATAAAGCACACAAGTGAAGTGAGGCTTAGCTGGTGATTCTTGTACGTTTGTATAGCTTTTGCCTGTCCAATAGCATAAAAAATAAATGTCAATTATTTCTGTGACATCACCAAAAAAGACAAAAAGCTAGTGAGAGACCACAAAAGTTAGCACATTTTGGGTTCCTTTTTTTATGTGTTAATACTTACTTGTAAAACAAAGAGGGAAGCCCAAGCAAGGGTGGCAATGATAAGAAAGATGCATCCTAAGAACCAATCTTTGTCCATTAATCCTGTGGTGGTTGCTCCATTGGTTTTATTGTGGGGATGTTTGGCCCAAATCATCTCAACTAAAGGACCTCTGTATAAGGTCATTAGCATAGCCCCTGCAACTGTCACTAATGTTCCCACTATCTTTGCGATGCATCTTACTTGCTTTATGTTTATCTTCTCCATCCTTTTCACATAATAAAGAACAATTAGCACAACCTCTTGTAACATATTTTCTCCTAAAAATATGATGAAATTTATAAAGACTAATATAATACTAATAACTACTTTTTTGCTATTTTTCCAGTTAGAGATCATTGAAAAATTCAGGTTTTGATTGATTTACCGGCAAAACACTGCCATCACAAAAGTCATAGCTGGAAGCATGTTGCTCATTGCACATGAGAAGGTTGGAGATGTGAGCTTCAACCCAGCATAGTAGAAATTTTGATCAATCACAGGCCTGTTTGATTAATTCAACACAAATATTCCTATTAATAATGCAATTTAATTCCATAACATAAAACTTGTTACTGCATTTGGACACTAACCCGAGAAGAGCTAGGATAAAAATTTGCATGAAAATTGGGAATGTTATCTTCGGTTGACCTTTCCTGAAAGATGAAACAATGAATATATAACCTCATTACTTTGCAGAGTTAGATTAACAAAAATGAATAAAATGATACATGTTTATCAGACGAACCTTTCAAAGATAAATGCAAAAGGAGCTATGACAGCAGTGGCGAAGGCGTGACGATAAACCACAAGAACATAGTGGCTCATACCTTGGTTGAGGGAAACCTTAGTGATAATGTTCATGCCAGCATAGCCAAACTGTAAAGAGATCATGGCCAAGTAGGGTTTTGAGCTTGCAAAGAACTTTGCACATCCTCTAAGCTTTTCAGTGGCCATTTTTCTGCTTCAGTGCGAGTAAGTAGTATTGTATAGAGAAGTTAGAGAGGAAGAACACTTGAAGAAGGGTTGTGTTACTTCCTAAGAAAAATCATGGGTAGCTCCTAGTATTTATACCCTAGAATGAAATGGTTTCGTCAAATGCATGTACACGTAAATGAGTGTCTTCTTTTCTTGTGGGGTTTTGAGATATTGGAATGGGGGGCAGCACGACAATGCATATATTAATGACTAGGTAGACATGGATATTCAAACAAAAATGAACAAGTAATATCATAATGGAATCAAAAGTGATTCATATAAAGTAGCCTTTGATGACTATGTTAACATCTTATATGAAAGTTCACTTCTTTTTTTTTTTCTTACCTAATTTCTACTATCTCTTTCTTAAATGAAATAACAAATTAGTTCATCAATAATTGGTTTAACTTTCATAAAATATAAAGCAGATTATAGAACTAATAAATTTCTATTAACTCCTTCATAAAATATACAGTTTTTAGATCAGCATGGTATTGTAGCTTTGCATGTTGCTCCTTTAAAATTTAATATTCAAACGATAAATTGGTGTTATAGTTTGTTCCACCCTACATCTTGCATATTTTTAATTGTAATGATCCTAAATTGCTGTCATACTAATCGAGCTTATATAGTGTTAATGATTATCATGGACGTTAAATGAATCATGTCATCATAAGAATCATCCGACACAATATGAATGAAGTGCCAAATATTTTTATTAATTTTTAATGGTATCTTTATCCTCAGCCATATACAATATCATGAGTATTGTTTTAACTAATAAAATATATGATGACAAAAAAAAATATTAAAACCTCATCAATGTTGAGAAAATTTTGTTTATTATTTGCTTAATACAGTGATGATGAAAGACAGTGAAAAAAAATATGGTTTCCATGGAGGAATATAGTGTGATAACTATTGAGGCATCTGAGTCACCCCAATGGAGAAAGTTCAAGTCCCTAAAACACTCCATCTATAACCTAAATAAAGGGATTTGGATAAATTATATCTTTATTCCATCTAATAATTAATTTAAATTAATGTTTTGGTATATTTTTGGTTAATGTTTTAGTTTTTTTATAAAAAAATCAATACTTTGATATTATTAAGATAGGATTAATGTTTTAAAGTTCTTCTTTGATATTTATTAATACCTTCTGAGTTGCATATTTCATATTTCAAGTAATTCTACTAATTATTTATATTGATCGCTCTTTAAATTTAGACTTTCATATCTTCTTTGTTTAGTTATTATTTATTTTTTTATAAGAGACAAATTCTCGGGATTATATCTTAAAATAAGAAAACTCATCGGATGAATTCTTGACATTATATCCTTAAAATAAAGAAACTCATCACGTGATCAATTAATAAATAAAGTCACTTAGATAAATTGAATTATTTGGATACTACATGTATATTTTGGAGTGACTTAAAAAAAAATTATGTAATGTTGATAAAAATTAACATAAGATCAAAAATTAAGTTTGGTTTGTTTCATTTTAACAAAATGTTAAATTATAGGATATTTATTAGAAGTTATAAAAAAGTTGTTATCTCTTTTTTTTTTTCCTCCAAACCCAACATTCAACACATTGTGATATGTTTGACCGTGTGTCATATCATCATAAAGCTATGATATGATAATGGTAATTTAGAATTTTTAAAAAACATTGAATTAAAAAAAAATTGTTTTGGGTGAAAATATTATATCCACAAAATAATCACATTTGAGAAAACGAAGACATGTTTTACCCTAAAAAATATTTTATATGTATAATTAAATCTAATCACATTTGGGTAATTTTTGTGAAAAAAGTAAAATAAAATTCTATGATTAGTGATACTTATCCACTAAACATCTTATAAAGTGTCATTGAATAAGCAATACACTTATCTTGATCTTGGATTTTCATAAAGTGCCAATTAACGTCATTTCTTCAAGTGGTGCTTAAAAGAATAATAAACATTAACATAACATTTTATCATCCCAAATTAATAACTATATTTTGTGATTGTAATCGGTTAATTTTTAAAAAGTATGCATGTTCGGTCAAAATGCTTTGATACATCATATCCTAATTGATTTCATCACTAAAAATTTACTCTAAAATATTTCATTCAAATCATTACATTTATTTTGAAAATATATAATAACTAATAGTAGTGCAAAAATGAGAATGATAATGCGAAATTGACTAAGGTGAAACTTTAACTTACGCATGATATTTGACACTTTTTCACTACACAAGCTACCAAATGTGTAGATGCTTTAACTTTTGGTTTTATATGATTGCTAAAATGCTATTTTTCTAGTTTTTTTTTTTAAATCCTTTTAAAAATATTGATTCTTTTATGCGTTTTGAAATTATTTTTCATGCTAAAAACACTACAATAAATTTCTTATTTACAGATAGATATTTACCAACGGATATAAAGTCATCGGAAAATAAGTGATTACCGACAGAAATTACCGACGGATTTAGAGTAGTTGTGGAATTTAGTCTTACCTACGGATAAATTCGTCGATAAATGAACAATTAATTACCGACGGATATATCCGTCGATAAATGAATAATTAATTACCGACGGATATATCCGTTGGTAAATTTGTAGGTAAATTCATAGATAAATAAACAAATAATTAACGACGGATATATCCGTTTGTAAATTGATAATTTTAGTAAATAGACAATTAATTACTGACGGATATATCTGCAGTAATTATTTATTCATTTACCGATGAATTTACCGATGAATTTAAAAACATATTTTTAAAAATCAACATTAAATTAAAAAAATTAAATATTTAAAATTATATAATAATTACTTAATTTTAAATATATTATAATAAATACGACACATACTTTCACCGTCGAACGCGTCCTCACATTCAACATATAAATATATAACTATATAAAATATATAAATATATTTATATTTATATATTTTATATTTATATATTTACACGGATAAACATTTATTTGTATATAAATATAATTTATTTGTAAATTATTATTAGAAAATATTAGTAGTCTAGTGGTTGGAGTATTAACCTTCAATTTTAAAGTATTGGGTTTGAATCCCGTAAGTGATAATTCTCTTAATCTGATTGTAAAAATTGTAGTAAATAATAAAATTATAAATAAAAGATAATTCTCTTAATCTGATTATAAAAATTGTAATAAATAAATGAGATAAATTAAATAATTTAATAAATAAAATAAATAAAAATATATCTTATTTAATGATAGAAATATTTGTTGGTAATTAGAAATTTCGATTTTTTTTTAGGAAAAAGGTAAAAGTAAGTTTATGCGTGTTGTGGTGAAATAAAAATTGATGTGAAATAATAATATAGGGCACTTTGAGAGTCAAAAGAAGTGGGAAAAGAGTGAAATGACTCCACATTTCTCAAACGAATAAAACGTGGATAATGTCGTGAAAAATGGCATATAAATAGGAATACTAAAATTCAGGAAAAAACCTACCTAGAATAGGGTGCAGTGAGGTAAAACTAAAATTTAAATGTAAATTTTATAATTTAATTAGCTCATTAAGTATAAAAGAATAATTTTATAATTGAGTCTTTTTAAAAATTGAACCAGATCAACCAATTCAACTTTTTTTAGTTGAAAAAATGACTCTAAAAATCATATTCTTATTTGTAAATAACTTGATTTTAATTAAATTATAATAAAATCGAAAGAATTGGTACAAGACTAATAAAACAGGATGTATTTTTGAATTAATTGGATTTTCATAAAAAAAAGATTAATATTTTTTAATATAATTTTTATAACAATTAAATCTAAAACTCTTAATCTTAAAATAAATAAATCCATAATTATTGATGGAAGACTAGTAATTTGTTGGGTTGCATGGCTCCAAAGAAAATAAAGGTCCTTTAAAGTCCACCACATTCCCCCCACGCATACTACCAACTTTGATTTAAGAAATTTGATTTCACGAGGGAAGATATCACCATCACATGCCATTGGTGCTCGGTGCTCGGTGCTCGGTCAGCTTTTCTACTTGTTCATCGTCTGCTCAAAAAGCCTTTTTTCTTGCCTCGCAAAAACAAAGTTTTTCCATTAATCACACTCTCAACAACTTCAAAAGTTGCGGTCAAAGATTCATCCCTCCACGTCTACCACATAACCTATCACAACTCAACAGTGTTGCATGCTTTAATCACATCTTTTCTTCCCTACATTTGCCTTTAGCATTACCAACACCATGCCAAATTCTTTTTTTTTTATAATATTTTCCTACTAATAATCTTATTATACTGTTTTTTTATTAGAGTAATGATAGAAAGAATCAATAAACCTATCATACATTATAATTTTTTATTAGAAGACATATTTTAATATTTTTTCTATAAAAAACCCTTAAATGATATTTTGAAGAAAATATAAATTTATGATTTGATAAACTTATGAGTTTCACATCCTTTAGGAATTAAGACTAATGGTAATTTATGTTGTAAGTGTTAACAAAAACACGAACGAAACTTGGTTCTTGAGAAGTGTATAACTTAAGTACTTATCCGTAATGTATTGCGTTAGTTCTCCAAGATATAACAAGAACTTTCCAGAAATTTCAAGAATATCAGAAACTAACAAAAAACTCTTAAGAGTATATAAACCCAAGATAAAATAGAATGAAAAAAAAAAAAGATGAGTAAAAATATGTTTTTTCATATAAGTGTTGAGTGATCTATTTATAAATGTAGTATGAGCAACAAATTCATTTTCGCATAACAAATCTTGTGGAGGAAGTGTACACGTTCTAGGTTTGTGCGAACCATGGATGGTTGTAGTTTGGAAACATGGGAGAGCGAAACTCATTCTAGGTTAGTGCAACACGTTCCAAGTTTTGTAATACTCATATTCCACGATAGTTTATATACACATTTTTCTCATAACCCATCAAGAAGAAATTTTTTAAAGATAAAACGGTTAAAGATTAAAGTTCTAATATCATAGGTGAAAATTGACTCTAATAATACTATCATAACAGATATGACATTAAAACATTCTTTTTCTTAAATGAATTAATATCCAATAACACACCGTTAAAATTAAATTATCTTGTTACAATCACACACAAAAATTAAAGATTTTCCTGAAAAGAAAAAGAAAGACACTTTCTTATCTTAACTTAAGACACATATATTATTCAACAACCAAGTTTATCTCATATCAAAATTACGAGATGAATAAAAATGAAAAAAAAAATCTAAGTAATCTCGAGTCTATAGTTTAGCAAAGCGATGGAGTCAAGTCTAAAGATTCTTGTGTTGATGTTGGTGGTGAGTGAGGAAGGTTTTGTTGATCTTGAAGAGATTCTATGATACCTTTAAAGATACTTTAACGTTTTATGTTAATGCATGCATGAACTAAAAAAGTTGAAATAAAATATGAAAAGAGGGTGTACCTAATTTATGGCACTTGCGTCATAGCATGCACAACCATAAAGAAATCTTAAATAATGAGTGACCTTTTATAATGATTGAGCATTTTTGCACCCCAAGCGTGGGAGTGTGTGCAAGTGTAAGATTTTTTTGGATTAACTTGAATGAATAGTGTATAAGACCTTGACCTAGTGGTCAACTTGTCATTCTAAATTTGGTTGTACATGCTATATATAATATTTTTCATTCAAATAAATACTATATTATTAAGTCTCATTTTTTTATCTATAATAATTAGATATATATAAAAAATTAATTCATTATTGTTAAAAAAATGATTTTCTACTCTGACTTGTTTAAGATGAAAGTGAAATAAAAAAAGTTGTATATTTTAAAAGATTAAATAAAAATCCCTAAATAATTATACCTCCAAAATTAATTGGTATAATATTATATTATTTTTTAAATAAATCATTTATTTATTCTTCACGTATTAGTAGCAACTAAATGAATACAAATTTCTATATGATAATAATTATTTGCAGACACTATTGTATTAAAAAAAATATAATAAGAATATAGTTTTATTGTGTTTGAAGTACATAATCAAATTAACGTGTTAAATCAAAATTAGATCTATGATTTATGTTGAAATTGAAATTACATTAAATAATTTCTATATTTCTAAAATTAAAAACTCATAATCAAGGAAAAAATTATGTAAAATTTTATAAAAAAATATATTATAAACCCTAAAAATTTATTTATTTGGATTCACTTCCTAAATTTGATTTTCTTACTTTCATAATTGGTGATGAAGCTTTGAAGAGTGGACTGATGAGAATGAAAAGGAGGTGAGAAGTGAATTAGAAGGGGTGAGAAAAGGAGGGCCCTTTGAAAACTAGGCCTTTCTATTTATCTTTTGGATTCCATTGTGACAAGCCTTTTCATATCTTTTGACGCTGCTATTTACAGTCCCATATCTTGCTACGAACACTCCCCATTTTCCTCTATTTTAAATCACATATTTTCCTAGACATGTTACTAACAAGAGCGCAAAGGATAAAAAATCAGAAACAATTTTTTCAGAGCAATTTTTTTTTTCATGTTTTAGAGAATATATTGAAGGAAAAAAATAGTTATAGAAAACCGTATCTTCCATTTTTTTTTTTTGTGGTTTTTACATTCCAAAAGCACGATTTTGCTATGTTGAAACACATTTTTACATTTTGGAAAGGAATTTCTTAAACTTATTTTTATTTTCTTAACATTTCTGAAAGTATTTTTTAGAATATATAAAAAAACTTTTTTTTCTTATTTTCATGTTCTGAATAATAAAAAAATGTAAAAAGTTAAAATATCACACATGTAAAATATTAAGTATTAACTAGTTATTATAATGAAAATATGAAGTATGTTATTTTTCGATTAAAACTTAGTTGGAAACATAATATAATAGTTTAACGGTATATATATTTTATCAATAAATTAAAAGTAAAATACAAAATAAAATTGTATATTTCTAGTATTCTATATTTTCAACTATTTCAATCTATGATTTTAGTACACACTTTCAATAACTTTTAGTTACTTTTACTAAACATAATTTCATTGCAATATTTTAGAGGGACTTTTTGTGAGGGATGAATTTGCAAACCCTCGAACTTGTATGATTAATTTATGGTGATTTTGTGGAGAGAATGATGGTGGTTGCTATTTCACACCTTGTACTGTTTTTGTTCAATTTGTTCTTTGTATCTTTCAGATAATGTCTATATGTTCTACCAAATACCCTTTTGTTTGTTTCTTTTCGATTTATTGCATGATTTTTCAAATATCTACAATTAACCACGGAGAATGTCTGGCTAATAACCAAAAAAAAAAGTCCCACCATTGTTTTTTTTTTCTAAAAAATCATCGAAACAATATATTATTTATAATCTCATTATATTAATAGAAGATATGTAATTATTATAATAATTTTTATTATATATATATATATATTATAATATTTTCATATGAGTCATTTAACAAAATTTACCAAAGAGAAACAAGAATATGAACCATATTTTAACTTATATAAAATATTGATATTATTTTTAATGAAAATTTTTAATATGAAATTATGAGTCTTTTTTCTTTGTGTTATTTTTCTTTTTCTTGTTCTTAAATGTGAGACTTAAACCTACACTTACATTTTTTTTAAGTTAAAAAAATTCAACAAATGTTTTTCACACAAATGTAAAAATAAAGTAACGTAAATAAACGGTGTGAAAAAAAAAGGCACATAAAGTTGTTTGGATTTGTACAATTTTGCTGCGATGACAGCTCAGCACCACCATTAACATGTGGAAATATTGGAAGACAAAGATAAAATGGTTGCATTTATTTCTAAAATAAGTCTCAATTATTTGTACTTGCTACACAAAAATGGGACAAACAACATGCTATCAACACTTAAAACCTTTTCACATGTTCCACTCAATTGGAACTTTTCACATTTCACACAATATAGAATGTAATTAATTTATTTGATGAAACTCATTTTTTTTTCTCTTTCTATAAAATCTCATCCTCTTCATTTTTTATTTATTTATAAGTAATAATTTGGTGAAATAACTTATTTTTTTTAAATAAAATTCAATTTTTTTCTAATAAAAATTACTTTAAACAACTTATTCTACTCAAACACTTCAGTCAAGAATTCTTGTAAACTTTCCTTCCTAATTTAAACCCTTTTGAACACATGATACACATTCATCACTTTTCATCTGTTTTTTGCTTCTTCCTTGAACGGTCAAAGCCACCTTTGAATGCATTATATAAGCATATCCACACCACTCACTTCTACACAAACAACTCACTCTCATTCATCACAAAATCATCACCACAACCATGCTCCAACAAAAGAAGCTTGTGGATGAAGTATCGGGTTGGCTTAGACTTTACGATGACGGTTCCGTGGACAGGACATGGACCGGTCCACCGGAGGTCAAATTCATGGTCGAACCGGTTCCTCCTCGCGAGGAATTCATTGATGGAGTTGCTGTTCGCGATGTTATCACCAGCAACAATCTCCGCGTTCGGCTTTACTTGCCGGGGAGGATCTTCGATGAAGAGAAACTACCCATTTTTCTTCACTTTCATGGTGGTGGATTTTGCATAAGTGAACCAGATTGGTTCATGTATTATCAGTTTTACTCTCAGTTTACTCGGTTAGCTCGAGTCATCGTTGTCTCCCCTTTCCTTCGTCGTGCTCCAGAAAATCGCCTCCCTGCAGCCATTGATGACGGCTTTTCTGCTCTTCTCTGGCTTCAATGTGTAGCCAAAAGAGACACTGAGGAGCCGTGGCTTGAAAAGCACGGTGATTTTTCTCGTGTTTTTCTGATCGGGGATAGCTCCGGTGCAAATATAGTGCATGAAGTGGCTGTCCGAGCTGGGAAAGCTCAGTTGAACCACCTCCGTTTAGCCGGAGGAATCCCAATTCATCCAGGATTCATGCGGTCGACACGGAGTCGGTCAGAGTTGGAGAAACCACAATCTCCATTTTTGACTCTGGACATGGTGGACAAGTTCATGAGCTTGGCATTACCGTTGGGTTCTACCAAGGATCACCCCATTACGTGCCCCATGGGTGTCGGCGCTCCGCCGCTTAGTGGGCTGACACTGCCGCCTTTTCTGCTGTGCCTGGCGGAGATGGACTTGATCTTTGACACAGAAATGGAGTACTATGAAGCCACGCAGGAGGCGAAGAAGGATGTGGAGTTGTTTGTTAACAGAGGAGTGACTCATAGTTTCTATCTCAACAAAATTGCTGTGGCTATGGACCCAAATGCTGGTGCTCAAACGGATGCTCTTATTGCCAGGATCAAACAGTTCATTGAGCAGCACTAAATATTCTGTTCTTTTTCTCTTTGCAAATTAAAAAGAAAGAAAAGAATTGTGCAAGTAATAATATGTTGTTTTGTTAGAACTTTTGCTGAAAATAATGTAGTATATATGTAACCATATCTATGGATAGCCCCTAGACTTAGTCTAAATACTCACCCTTAGATTATACCGATTCATCTATTACATAATAATATTATTATATATAAAAATAGTAGGGTGATTTAATATTGATGTTAAATTATATTTAAAACTTATATTCATTTGATCTAATTAAATTGACTTAGATTTTTAAATATAGCTTAAATTTGGATTTAAACTAAATTTAATTCAAATTCATTTAATCATTTAATTCAAAAGATTAACAAAATTAGATAATTTAATTAATATCACTAAATTTGTTCTAAATTTAGACGAAACGATTTCTACCATTAATGAGAAATACTTCTCTTTCTTTTCAAATATTTTTAATCTTTCTAGTGATTTATAAGAGACAAGGTAAAGTTTGCCTAAGTGATCACATGCAAACAATGTTAAATTTTAGTGCATTTTACTTAGTATATATATTGAATTTAGATAAATGACTCGTGAGTAAGAGTATTTTTATAAAAATAATTAATCACATTAAATGAAACATTATTAATAAGTTCTTATATAAAAAAGATAAACAAAATAGATAATTTAATTTTCATAACAAGTGAGCTTTTGGTAAGTTCGAGTTTGTGCTTGTATAGTAATTATCTTTTTCCTTTTTGAATTGTATATGTAAACGTAAACTATCATTGGAAAATCATGCATAAACCCAACTATAGTGCTAACCATTATATTAAAACAGTGTAGCATTACAATTCTATTTTTGATGACCATATATGTAGTTATCTATTCATAGCATGGCTAAAAGTATGATTTTTCACAACCCTCCATTTTTAACCGCATTTGTTCCCTCTCTTCATCTCTACCCCACTTTTGTTACCCATTTGTTAGTGGTAGAAACACCCTTTATATAAACCTCTTACCTCCATCATTCCAAAACACACGATCTTTGATTTCCCAGGCTTACTCTTATTCCCCGCTGGTTTGGTCACTAGCAGTATATATAGTTCCTTTTGAGGTTTGTTTCCTTGGCTTTGTTGTTGTGTTACAAGAACTTCACTTTTTTATGGTATTTTTGAGGGAAAAAAAAAGGATTTCTCTCTTTGCTTGGCAAAAAGTTTGTTGAAATATACCTGAAAATTTGGTTTTATAAATCATATACTAATTTTGTTTAATGAGTAGAGTCCTATGTTGTTTACCAATTTCAAAGTTGGATTAGAAAGTTCTTCATATATATATATATATATATATATATATATATAATTTATATTCGGATATTATCTTGCTTTTCCAGGTTTAAAAGATTCAAACAGAAGGAAGTTGAATATTTTATCCTTGCTTCTTCTTGGTGGATCTAACAATGGGGGCAGCTGAAGAGGCCGCTCAAAATCCTGTGAAGAAGGAATTAGTTGCTGATGCAGAAAATCCTGTTAGTGATGATGATGCAAAGACTCCAGGAGGTGGAGAAACTCCTACAATAAAGGGCATAGATGGTCTTGAAGAAACAACTGTCAAAGAAATAAAACCTTGTCTTCCAAATGAAGCTAGTGAGATGTTGAAATCATTGGCAAGTAAATGGGAGAATGTAATTGATGCCGATGCATTGCAAGTAATCCCTCTGAAAGGGGCAATGACCAATGAGGTTTTCCAGATAAAATGGAAGACAACGGAAGGAGAATCCTCGAGAAAAGTTGTGGTAAGAATCTATGGTGAGGGCACTGGTATTTTCTTTGATAGGGATGTTGAGGTCAAAACATTTGAATTCATGTCAAAGAGTGGACAAGGGCCTCTTTTGCTAGGAAGGTTTGGTAATGGTCGCATTGAAGAATTTATCCATGCAAGGGTACTGTCATCTTTACTTTTTCCATTATTATTCTTAATTTTGTTTCTTACAATTAGATCGTTTAAATATGTTGAGATCTCCTGAATTATAAACAAGTTGATGAATGAATATATTACACAACTGATATTTCTTAATCCACCATTGCAAATCATACTTGTAAAGTTTTATTCATTTTGTACTATCCCATTTATGAACATGATAAGCTGATACATTATGGTGGATTTACCAGACATTAACAGCATCTGATATACGAGATCCATCTACTTCTGCTCTTATAGCAGCCAAAATGAAGGAGTTTCATGACATTGATATGCCTGGTCCAAAGACTGTGAACCTCTGGAATAGGTTAAGGTATGTGTTCTTTTGAAAACCCATCTCACCAACAAATTTGTTTGTGACATATGGATGTATATTCTTTTAGAGAAACCATACGAATGTGGTTATTATTAATACATTTTGATAATTTCCAAAATAATTTGAATTTAATGCTGCTTTTCAGAGATTGGATCAGTGAAGCCAAACGCTTGTGTTCTCCTGAAGATATTGAAGAATTTCATTTCGACACTTTTGAAAAGGATTTATCAACTCTGGAAAGTGAATTATCAAGCACTGAACAACGCATAGGATTTTGCCACAACGATTTGCAATATGGCAACATAATGCTTGACGAAGAGACCAATTCTGTCACCATAATAGTGAGTCCCTCTTTATGCTGGTTAGAGGAATATACAGATTACTACTCTCTAATTATAGATTGTGTAATATTTATTAACAGGATTATGAATATGCAAGTTACAATCCTGTGGCATATGATATTGCAAATCACTTCAATGAGATGGCTGCCAACTATCACACAGATACCCCACATGTTCTTGACTTCACCAAATATCCTGGTATGTGAATAATTTACCAAGCTTGTGCAATTTCTTCTCATGCACTTTTTCACCAAACAATTAACATAATTTACTTCTTTCTTATTCTAGATTTGGAGGAGCGTCGACGATTCATAAATGCATATTTGAGTTCTTCAGGTGACATCTCAATTCTGTTAAAACATTGTAGTACTGCATGGTGGTTAGTTTTGTTTAACATTAAGCTACATTTCAGTGGAGTACTCTAAACATCATAAGAAAAGATTAAAACCTGAGTTTTTGTGTTTTCATCATGACACAGATGAGGAACCAAGTGACCCTGAAGTGGAGCAATTGCTTGAGGAAGTTGAGAAGTATGCGCTTGCAAATCATATATCGTGGGGCGTTTGGGGATTAATTTCGGTATCTTCTCTTTCTCACTTTAGCATTGGTAATTCTACGTTGAAGCTTCTTAGTATGTGCATTATTTCCATAACTAAAAACATCATGGGGATCAATGTAAAAATAATCCAAACCATACACATATCATTGTTTTATATCTGTGGAAATTTTACTCTTACACTTACCGAGAGGCTTGTAAAAGAAGGATAGAAATTAAACATATGCATGGGAAAATAAGATACAAATGAAGCAAACACAATATTAATCTATTAATCTACACAAATTTGTGTGATTGTAGTAGTGCTACTATCATTTTCAATCATATCACCTTTAAGTTTTATAATTTAATAGACTTTTGGAATTGGATTATTACACTCATAAATTACCAAATTCGAGTCTGATTATTGAAGTAAAATAGTTTCAAAGACTAAAATACTGTATATTAAATTTCCAAAAGGATATATAGTTCTAATAATCGAATTTTCAAATGGGTGTAAAATATTTTTTAAGTATTGCCTCTAACTATCTTCTGAATTCCTTGTGCAGGAGCATGTAAATAAAATTGACTTTAACTACAGGGAATATGCAAAGCAGAGGTTCCAAGAGTATTTGTCAAAGAAAAATTCTAATGGTACAAAACGAATACATTGCTTCTAATAAACACTTAATATTGTATGATGTTCATCACTATAATATAAGTTATATATAATAGTATATGTAAAGACACTGTTTTGGCACTGTGAGACCACAAATATGAATTTAAAAGTCTTAAAAATTATCTATTAATGAAGATGGTATTTATATGTCGCATCATATGCTATCTCACAATGTTACTAAAATGTGATAAATCATATTTTTTTCAAAAAATTACTAGGTTATGTTGTTTAGATTAGATTGATAATTTCATATTGTTCTAAATAGTTATTGGTTTTGCAGGGGAGGAAGCATTGAAATTGAGCAATAAGAATAAACCAGCTAGGCTTAGCAGTATCACCAGGAAATTGAAGAGATTTTTGGGTCTTGGTTTCTTCAGATCCAAACACTAGAGCTGGGTTTCGCAGAATTTGCTCCTCTATCTCACCTTATTGAGTCAAAATGGGAATAGTCTAAGCATAGAAATGAAATTCCCATCTATTAACTTTTTTTTTTTTTTTTAATTTTCTTTATTCTTTATCCTTAATCCGTAAACTTCCAAGTATCCAGATTTTCTGCATAATTAATTTTTTAAAAATATATATTTTTTAATTTTATTTTATTCTTTAGATGTATTTATGTTTATTCTTCATTTATTATATATAGTAATATAGACATAAAATATTAATAATAATAGTAATAGTAACAGTAACAGTAATAATAATACATAATATATTTATTATTACTCTTATCTCAACCACACACATTCTCAATGGTTGAACTCGTGATTAGACATTACAATATAAGCCACTCTAGGTGGACCAAACCAAGTGTTCTCAATGTTCTCTTATAATAGTTTTCTTTCACGAAGTCTCGTCATTTTCTTAAAACAATGATACTTAAACCTATTATCTTCTGCATATCACAAAAATCCCTTGCCACCATTGGCCACTATCTGTTTCGTCATTTCTATAGACACATGGCATGAAGAAACTTCAATTTGATAATTTGCTTGAGTAGCCTTTTGTTATGCTTTGTTGTTTCATTTTTCCTGTGTCACAACATCAGATAATGTATAGAAGAATTAAAGTTTTTGGATTAACATTTTATCATTTTATCGCTAGTAAAACTGCAAAAATATTGTCGACAGAGAAGTATTAAAAAACATTTACTGGTAATTTTCTCTAAATCTACATCTAATGCACATAATTAACAACTTTTAATTAGTTTCTATGTCCTATCTATTAGAAGTTAACTTAGACCATTAAAAAGAGAGGAATTAAGAATCATACCCTAGATTTGAAAGCTTTTGCTTTGGTTTCTCTGTCCACTTGATTCATACCTGACTTTCTAGCATTCACCACTTTCTCTACCATCTTGCTTCCCTTAAAATGTGCTCGACCTTCATTAGTGCTTGCGGCTAGAGTGAATGTTTCTTTATGTGCCCTCAAGTTTTTCTGGGTTCTGTCTAACTGATTCCAACCACCATTAGCCATGCTTGGTGATGGTGACCTTGATGGTCTATATGCTCGTGGAGTGGGATCCCGATTTTGAAACCCTGAAACCGTAGAAGATCGAGTTGTGCTTCTTCCTCGTGTCGTGGAACTCGGCCTCTGATCTGTCCTTAGATTTGGTGGTGTCTCATTAGAGAGTTCTATGATGTTACTCACAAGTGCAACCCTTGATTTCACTGATGGAGAAACACCTCTGCTTCTTGGCTTTCTTTGTGACTCATTTGTTTCTATGCTTTTCTTGACATTCAAAGCAAGGAAATCAGTATTGTTGGTTTGCTTTTGGGGAGTGGATTTAGGGTTGTTGGCTGCATCATGGTCAATTTTGGCATTGTTGCTCTTGTTGGTAATGGTTGGGGGAGTGTTTATTGGTTGTTCGTTTGTGTTCTTGATGGTGCTTGGTCTTTGCCTAGTGTGACTTGGGGTCATCGATCTTGTTAAAGGTTTTGGTTTGGTTGAGTTGGTATGACTTGTTTTTCCATCAATTGATTTGGGTTTTGGTGCTTCTACTTCACTCCATGCAAACTGTGAGCAAAACCAACCTTTATGTTGTCAATTTGAAGTTTAGAGGAACATATAAATTAGAATAGTTGAACAAAAAGTATACCGAAAAGAACATAATATTCTTAAGAAAATATAAGATAAAATGTAATTTTGCCCTTTATCTTATTTTCAAGATTCATTTATGTTTTATTTTTAAAATATTCATTTTAGAGAAATTTGGATCAATTTGATCTATTCAAAACACTGACATTTTTCAATTTTGGGATTTAATTTTGAATATATATATATATATATATATATATATATATATAACTCGTTTAAAAAATTAAACTTTTCCTACTAGATTTACTCAAATCAAAGCTAGGGAATTCAATTTGTTTGAACTAAAAAGTATTATAAACACGCTGTAAAAATATTGTGCAAAAAAAAAAATGAGAATCACGGATAAAAAAATTGAATTAGATTTTTCAATACTCATTTTTCTCCCCATATTTGTTTTGTGTCATTTTTCTTCAAACATAGTTAGTCCCTATAGTTCTTATCTAAACGAGTTGAATGATACAAGTTTCACATAGTCAATAAATAAAAAAGTGATTAAAAATTCTATCTAAAAACTGAAAATGTTAAAAATTGAGTGTACTTACTCTTGAGATGGCCTGAGAGATTGGTATCTCCTTTTGAAGGACAAGTTGAGGACCTGGTTCCATTTCAAGGGATGGAAACAGAGGAGTGGCTGGTGGTGTTTTCAACCTTTTTGGCACATGGATATGCACGATGCAGAATCAAATGTTTATGAACAATTTTCATTATTTGAATCATCAAAGATCATGCACACTTACCAATCATAATCATTTTTGTTTGTTTCTAGAAACTCTAGTCCGTGTTCTTTCTTCCCCGACGGAATTCTATACAGTGAAAAATTCCCTGAAACCATGTACACTATTCTTTTCTCAGCACTAAACCAAAAACATTAGCAACCCCTTTCAGCACATTTATAATATAATAATGGTTCATGATGAGTACTGCATACCAGTATCATTGTTAGTGACACATTCAAACTCTCCAGAATTAACACAATGCAAGAGGCTAGAAACGCGTTCGTTCTGGCGCTTTCGCAATTCTCTGAAAAGCATTAGGTCTTCGTCTCGTTCCATGCGTCCTTTCATCTTTGCCTTCATCACACCACTAACGGCCACGTTCTTCACTAATTCATGCTTCTAATTATACTTAGTAACTTGTAATATTCTCCTCCAATTCCCTCACACTTTCTTAGATTCTATTTCTTGTGTTCCAACGATGCTTAGTCTTGCAAACGACAAAGGCAATTTATAATTTGATTATGATTGAATAATTTATGTCGAAAGAGGGATTGCTGCCACGTGGAGCTCTAGCCGGCCAGTTTGTTTCTTTGTATATGATTCATTTCTGAGAGAAAATTAGACTTATTTTTTAAAATTTAATTTTAACTTATTTAGCAAGTCTCTAATAAGAAGAGAGATTTACTTATAAGATACTAAGGTACTATATTATGTTTCATTCATTAAAACAATACAAATACACTTTCCTTTCCAATTTCTTTTAGTAATTTTTCAAGTTAATATATCTTATGGTTTCTCGTCCTTCTTCGCTCATGAACTACAAAAGCAAACCAAACTATTAGAAGAGAAAATTGAAATTTTAAGCATTCATCCAACTTAAAGAAACGTAGATATAATGTAAAGCCATAGGAATTTACATTAATGAAGTTATTCTCCCTATATTTATACCCCTCCATCGAACAAAGTTAAACAATGAAGTCTCATTCTTACATACACAAGGGAGTGTCTTCTGCCTTCAAACATTCAGCATTATTTTTTTGCCATGGCAGCACCTCCTTTCTCATATATAAACTCTGCCCCTTGGTTTTGTCTTCAATTCCTCTGCCAGCAGCACAAGGACCAAGGATTTTGTCTGAGGATACGAAATTGGACTGGTTGCTCAATCTTTGAATCTAGTTATATATGCATATTTATTCCTTGTTTTTGTCACTTTCATATTTTCCTCAATCCCATTGCTCTTTTCATCTTCTCCCTCTTGGATCTTCCAAATATTTTTATTCCAACCAAATCCCAGTTGACAAACCCTTGCCAAATTATATTTTTTTACTCTAGATATTTGTTTCCCTTTTCCCATTCATGACACACTAAAATAATCAAATTTTGAACAAAAATGAGGATATAGTTTATTAATAAGCTGGTAATATAAAAAGTAATCCAGAGAAAAGTGTGGCGCAGTAAAAGGGAAGAAAATTTTATTAAGGTGGTTTGATTTTAAATTGCAAAGAAGAAAAAATTGTAATAAAATAATTAGAGAAGAGGGGATGGAAAAGAGTGTGTAGCCTGAAATAGTGGAGTGTACCAAAAAAAAAGCCTAAAATAATGGATTTGGCCATCTAACACACACATTAATTGATCACTTCTCTTTTCTTGATAACATTTATTACTATTATCATTATTTTAGAATATAGTGATAACAAACATGGTGAATGCGTCACAGAAATTAATGGTGGTGTGAGAGAGAAAGAAAGAAAAGGAGAGGTAGCAGGTATCTATAGCTACTAGGAAGAGGATTGTTCAACAAAGTGAGGGATCCACTATGGCCTCTTCAAATTCACCATGTGCAGCATGCAAGTTCTTGCGTCGCAAATGCCAACCCGAGTGTGCTTTTGCACCATATTTTCCTCCTGATCAGCCTCAAAAGTTTGCAAATGTTCATAGAATTTTTGGGGCCAGCAATGTCACAAAGCTTCTCAACGATTTGCACCCTCATCAACGTGAAGATGCTGTGAATTCCCTTGCTTATGAAGCTGAGATGAGACTCCGTGACCCTGTGTATGGCTGTGTAGGAGTGATATCACTCCTCCAGCACCAACTTCGCCAGCTTCAAATGGACCTCTATTGTGCCAAATCCGAGCTCTCTAGGTACCAAAACCTTAGCATCACCACCAACCACAGTCTCATAGCCTCCGAACCAGCCACTCCCTACCACCACCACCACCAGAACAACAGTGGTAATGGTTTTGGTCGAGATAATCATTACCATTATCACCACCATCAGTTTTTTCCCAGAGACCAACACCAACAAGTAGTGAGAAACTTTGATGCAGGCAACAACTATGATGCAAGCCTCTTGGCCATGAACATATCTGCCAGCTTAGGGCAACTCAACCAGCTTCAGCATCAGAGTACTGCTGGTGGAGGTGATGACCGCCACACTGCCAACCGCTCCTAGGGTTTCATGGGGGTCACATATTTAAGCATGCAATAGGTAATCAATTTAGTTAAACTTTTCATCCAATATTTCAGCTATAAGATGGTTCATTTAATTGTGGTTTGTTCATTATCATCTTCACTCATATCCACCCACATATTTTGTCACTCACAATATTGATGTATAAATTTGGACTCACAATGCTGCCAGATTCTTCAATTCTATACATATAATGTAAGCAATTTCTCATGTATCTGCCTTAGTCAATTTGGAAATACTATTTCTCTACACATGGTGTTCTACAAGTTTGGAATGTTAATCTCACTATTAATTGTCATTGATATGCTGCATCAGTTTTAGCACAACATTGTTATAACACATACAGAGAGAGAGAGAGAGAGAGAGAAAAGAAAGCACATTGGTAAGAGAAAATGTGAGAAAAACTCATAATAAACATGTAATCAAATGTATATGAAGATTAAATTAACATCATAATTTCAAAATATGGTTCTGTGATTAAAATTATATACTTTAAAAAGAGTTTTGACAATAGTAGATGGAGAAAAGAATGCACTCACAATTTTCACATTTTGAGGGGTACTTCTCAATACTATAATATCTCAAAGCCCAAGTTGCATTTTAATATTTTCTTTATATCATTGCAGAACTTCTAGGTAGAAACTTAAATATAAAGTAGCTATCCATATTTAATTATTATGATTTTACTGTTTTTACTGAGAATAAAAAAACTTTATCCCTCCATACCTATCTCAATAGTCTAACTTATCAAAATTAAGAAAATTATCAAAATAATAAATTTATATTTTTTAAACTGTCCTCACCACTAATCATTAATTAAATATATTTAGTCTAACAATCATCAATACAATGAATTAAGCCTTAAAAGAAAATAAATATTATTTGTAAAGTGTAAGACTATTAAATATTCTTTTACTCAATAAAATTCAAAATCTCTTCAATACTCGTTAAAAAATATATGTTTTAATTGAGTTTTTCTTTTATTAACTATTAAATAATAAAACAATATATTTTAAAGGATGATTTTGAAAGATAAGATTATGATTATGATTATTAAGTACAGAAAAAGTTTATTCTTGTGAGGACAGTACAAGTTTGGTCAATTTTTTTAAAACTTATAGTCAAACAGTTTAAAATGGTGTTATACTTAATAGCTAACATTTGTATATTACTCTACAACCATGTTTTTATCAAAATTTTCATCATTTTTTGTTTGGTTCTTCTGCTATACTTTGATTTGGGAATACAAGTTACACTTTACATCATTGGAGTGGAATTAGATAAAGAAGATGATTAGACCTTGCTGTAAAAGAGAAGAGCATTTATAGCAGTTGCTTGTTCTGAGAAAACTACTCTAACACAATAATGAGTCACACAACTACGTTTAATTCTGAGTGTCATTGGCATTTATTAGACAGTGCCAACACTATGGACCTGTGTCTTGCATCTGAACGCATTTGTTAATTCCATTGGGTATGAAATGAATTCAATGAGTGTGACTTGACCATTTTTTTTCCTTTTTCTTTCTGTATTATCACACTGCGCTGCCCTTGACTATTCCTTGTTTCTATCAACACAACTTTTTCTTGAAGTTTGGCACTGCACGCTTTTCCACATATGTGTTCACCCTTCCGAGTTCAAACTGTGGAGAAAAAGAATAAAAGAATATGTAATGTGCCCAAGAACCACCTACTACTGCGTTTTTTTTACATCTTTCGTCTTTATTACTTCCTTAACTATATGCTCTTTGTCTCCTCCCAATCCTCTTTCTCTGTTGTCTGATCCCGGAGAAAACAAAAAAGAAACAAAATTAACATCAGATGTGACAAATCATCAACACCTAACTTATTGTATTTTGCAAATGCATGCACGACACTGATCAATCTTAAGTCTAAGATTCTCTCTGGGAAGATTTTTATTTTAAGTTTTCAAAATTTTAAATTTTAGTTATAATAGTGTATTCCTCTTTAGGAATTCTTCATGTATTTTTATGCAAGATTTTGAACAATTTGGTCAATATTTTTTATGTACTCAGTCAGCTCGTGTTGGGATTAAAATATGAATAATTATTTTTAAACTTTATATTAATTATTTATTTTCAAAACTAATTATCTCATTTGTGTAAATGACAATACATAGACAAGAGGTTATATGGAAGTCCACCTCATATTTATCATATTTAAACAAAAAATATAATTATTTTGAAGAAGACCAATAATTAACTAATTCAACTCAAAAATTGTAATGTGTATTAAAAAATTAATTCCATTTTTACAGAATAGATATTGCTTTTAAAAATTTAAAACAAAATATTAACAATCTTGAAAAAAAAATCATTTTAAATAAAAGAAGCAAAAGAGAGTATATATAGACAAAATGTGAGTGTAAATAGTAGAACCCCAAATTCGTTCTATTAAAAGGAAGAACGTGATTTCTAGTCTGACAATGTTTAACTGGGTTTGGGCTTTCTGATGACAGAGAAAAGTTTTCTTTTGTAGTGTACAGTCTCTTCTCTCTCTTTTTTTGTTCACTTAACCAAACTAACTAAAATTATTATAATGAATAATTAGTAAATTAAAAATTAATCAAATATATTAGTATAGTTATATTCTTCAGTCAATATACTTCTTTCTTTACAAATATTTCAGGTTTTTTATCTCCTAAGAATTCAAATGGATGATCAATAAAGAAAAAAGAATAATAAAGTCAATATATATAAAAAAGACAAGTAAATAGAAATCAAGTTTGGTGTAGAAAAAAAATAAATAAAAGATAAGTCTAATATATTGAGTAGACACTTGAAATGTTGACATAATTAAATTTTTATCTGTACTTTATTATGTTTTTAATTGTCTTAATTTATTTAAATATTAAAAAATAATCTCTGTTAGATTTAAAAATAATAATTAATAATATGTTTCTAAATTTGGGTCACTAATTAACAGCGCGTGAGTAGTTATTCAAAAAATATATAACTTATTAAGTAAATTAATAGTGATATTAAAATGTTGTTTTATTACTCTATTAAAAATAATTATTTTAAATAGGATTTGTATGGACAATTAAAAATTATAACAAAGAGTTTTGACTATTTGGAATAACTGATATAAAGATGATTTGCAGTAATAAATTTCAAAATTTCCTTATTTATTGATATTTGTTATATATTTATTAATTAAATTAGTCATTTGTAATCAATATATAAAGTTAATTATTATTCTATTAATGAGACTATATGTTCCAATACTTTAATTGCTTAAATAATAATAATAATAATAATAATAATAATAATAATAATAATAATAATAATAAATTACAAAATATGTTTAGTTTGAATTGGAAGATTTTGGGTTAATATTATTTTTTTCCGTATAATTAATTTTCTTAGTTTATTTTATTCATTCTATTATCAAAGACAATATCGACTATTAAATAGTTATAATCTTTAGATGAACAACTATTTACAATATATATGTTATTTTCTATTTTTTGTATAACACATGTATTCTAAGTATTAATAATTATTATTGGATTCATTATTTTTACATATCTGTCATCAAACATATTCCTAATTTCTTAAATTTATTTATAAATTTATTTTCTTTTATTTGTAAGTTTTACTGTATAAATGATATTTATTCTAATGTTGGAATTTCGTGATGAATACGTCTTTCAAGTTGAAAGTAAGCATGGAGAAAGACAAATGAAAAGATAATATCAAAGAAGAAAAAGATTTACATGGAAAAGAGAATTATATTATAAAAGAGCAAATAATGGAAGTAATGTTTGGTGCAAATTCACTGTTAAAAAGAAGTAAAAATGTGTTTAATTTCTATTAGTTAATTTAAAATATTACAGTGAATAAATGCATAATAATTGAAATGTGAAAGAAAAAAAGTAAAAAGATTATTGAAAAATAAAAATTGTAGAAGATAATGTTAGGTGGTGGCACGTGAAGAGGTAAACTAGGATTCAAATCCAAATGCTTTATTAAAAAGAAAAGAAAGGAAAAAGATTGGTGATAACATCTCATGGATCGACGGACACTGAAGTCATGTTTGATTTAAGCTAGGAAAAACAGTGTGTGATGACAGAATGAATAATTGGATATAGCCATTATAAAAGGCCAATACTATGCCCTAGTTTCTTCACCACCTTCCAAATTGATCGTGAGAACATGAAAATGTCTCCCAAATGCATGCTTGTGTTGTTGGAAGCATTTGTTTTGGTCGCAACCTCCATTGCCAACCTCCCAACCTTTCCACCACCACAAAATACTGATCAACCACCACATGATGATGATAAACCATTCCATGGTAAATCCCCACACATAGAAGATGCATCTCATCATGGTAAACCACCGCACATTAACCATACATTACATGGTAGACCACCCCATCATGTGGGAACCACAAGTGAGTTGCCCCTGAAGGAGACACAAGGCACAGGAAATGAAGATCCTCCTCAACATGGTGATCATAGGGCGAAACCAAATGGCTCTCGACCAATTCATCCACCAAGTTTCAACTAAGTGAGTGGTCTTAGCCGTGAGTTTTAAATCGCATCAAGGGTTTAAGGAGTCTCTACAATAATTGCAATTTGCAACCTATGTTGGCTAAAGCAAACTACTTCATCAATAAAGTATTATTGATTGAGGCTATGAGCATATATTAATGAAATTCTTCAATTGCAACAGACTGGTTGTAGAGACTTGTACCTAGAAGATTATGAATAGTATTAGGAAAAGAAAATACGAAAGCTTAATACATGAAGTTGCATGTGTTATTACTTATATTTTGAGAAATTACAAGGGATCCTTATATAAAAGTAAAAGAAGAAACTAAGGGTAAAAAGGACAAATGTAATATTAAAAAAATAATAATAATTAAAATGAAAGATAAGGTTAACTTATCTTAATTATTAAGACTTATCCAAGTCATTAATGTATTTAATGACTTCATTAAGTAAAAATTAAAAAAAAATATGTCTATAAATGGGAGGGGAGAGATTACGTATGAGGAAAGAAAAAAAATTGAAGGAGAAGAAAGGGAAAGAGAGGAGAAAGAAAGAAGAAAGGGAGAGCAAAAAGAAAGAGGGAGAGAAAGAGAGAAAAAGAAAGAAAGAAACAGGAAGGGAGAAGAAGAAAATGAGAGAAAGATAAGTTACCTCTACAAAATTTTGGTACATCATCTGCAATTCTTAAGGTAGGGGAGAAAAATATTATCATTAAATCTATTTTATTTTGCTTATAGTTGTGGAGTGAGGTGTCCCTAACCTCATTCTATTTATTTAGTTATTTGTTTATTTATCTCTAACTACGTAATGATTACTGCCTTATGATTGTTTATTTTATCTCTAGTCTTCACTACTAGAAAAATGGTTAATAGTGACCGAAAAATTCAGTCACTGATAGTAACTGAATCAGTGACTGATTTCCGTTTTATATTTAGTGACTGATTTAGTGACTAAAATTTCAGTTACGGAAATCGGTCACTGATTCGGTCACTACTAGAAAAATGGTTAATAGTGATTGAAATTAGTGACCGAAAAATCCGAGTTACTAATAGTAACTAAATCGGTGACTGATTTCTCTTTTTATATATAGTGACTGATTTATTGACTAAAATTTCAACCACTAAACAAATAATATATAAATTAGTGACTATTTTTTATTTATATAAATAATTTTTAAAAATATTTTAATAATATATTAAATATAAATCTACTTAATAATTTAAAATAATTGATAAAAATTTTAATAACATTATAAAAAATTTAAAAAATAGTTTATTAACTTATTAAATAATTTAGTAATATAGTATGTAAATAAAAAAATTAAAATTAATTATTAAATTAGTTACTGATTCAATCATTAAAATAATTATTAATTTAATCTCTTTTATATATATAATCAATGATTAAATTAATTATTAGTTTAGTCTCTTTTTGATATATATATTAATTTATGTTAATAAAAATGTATTTCAATATATTTATAAAAAAATTAAAATTATTTTAATTATTGAATTGATATTTCAAATTTATATTAATATTTTAAACAATTTAGTAATTGGATAAATATTTTAAGTTTATATTAGTATTTTTATAAAAGTGTAAAGATTAAGTGAACTTATTTTAAAATTTAATTAAACATAATAATATAATATACTATTAACCATAAATATGTGAAGATTTAGTTAGAAATTAATTTTAAGTTTTATCGTTTTTATTTAAAAAAAATTGTTAAAAAAATTTAAAATAATTAATTAAAATAAAGAATTTTAATTTAATAAATGTGTTAATATTATTAATTATTGGAGAATTAAATTTATAATAATAATTATATAAAATTATAGAATTAATAAAATTTAAATTATTGGTATTTTTTTAATCATGAAACTAAAATTTGATAATATTAATAAATTAAAATAAAAAAAATATATATATATATATATATATCATTTTAATTATTTTAATTAAAAATAATTTCATAAAAAAACTAATATTTGAAAATAAAAATGCAAAAGTATATAGTTTTTCTTTTATTTAATTATATTTTTTATTTTTTACTTTTTGGGGTTTAGTCCATAACAACAATTTAATTGCTCTAATTTTCACAAAAATATATAATTTCTCTTATTAACAATTTTTTAATCAGATTAAGATAATTATTACTAATAAGATTCAAAACTAGTACCTTAGAGTTAGATATTAATACTCCAACCACTAAACTGTTAGAATTTTTTAATAAAAATTTTACAAATAAATTATATTTATATACAAATAAATATATATCCGTGTAAATATATAAATATAAAATATATAAATACAAATATATTTATATGTGAGGATCACGCTAGAGGGTAAAAGTGTGTGTCGAGTGAGTTTTCAAAATTTGATGTCAAATTTGTGAGCGAATCTCTTTATATGGATTTGTAATTTAATGATAGAATATAATCTTTATAATTTATTTATATAATGATATAAATAATTGTTTTCTTTATTTATTTTTATTTTATTTTATTTTATTTTATTCTTTTTATCTTTTTTTTCTTCTATTATTTAATTAAAATTCTTATATTAAAATAATTTTTCATTATTAAAAATAATTAAATATTTATTTTTAAAATTATTTTTTAAAATTATTTAATTTAACAAATTGTTATGGATTAATCTATGTCTGGAAAAAATAATTATTAAAAGATGATTTTGATTAATTTATAATAATATATGTTAGGAAAAAATTGTTCTATTAATAATCATAATTAGATTAATTTATAATAATTTGTTAAATTAAATAATTTTAAAAATAAATATTTAATTATTTTTAATATTGAAAAAATTATTTTAATATAAGAATTTTAATTAAATAATAGAAGAAAAAAATATAAGAAGAATAAATTAAAATAAAATAAAAATAAATAAAGAAAAAATTTATTTTATATCATTATATAAATAAATTATAAATATTATATTGTGTCATTAAATTATAAACTCATATAAAGAGACCCGCTCACAAATTTGACATCAAATTTTAAAAATATACTCGACACACTTTCACCCTCGAGCGCGCCCTCACATCCAACACACACACACACACACACATATATATATATATATATATATATATATATATATATATATAAATATAATTTATTTATAAACTATTATCAAAAATTCCTAATAGCTAAGTGGTTGAAGTATTAGTCTCTAACTCTAAGGTACTGGGTTTGAATCCTGCCAGATAACAATTCTTTCAATCTAATAATAATTCAAATTTTTAAAAAATATAATAAATAATAAAAATATATTATAAAAGAATATAAAAGGGAGATTAGAGAGTTATAAAAAAATATTTTTAATTTTTTAATGTTTTTGTTAGTGACCGATATAGTGACTAACTCAATCGGTCACTGATTCGGTCACTGAAATTAGTGACCAAGAAAATAGTGACCGATTTGGGTTGGTTACTATTTCGGTCACTATTTTAGTTAGTGACCGATTTTGATCATTTAGTGACCGAAAATTCGGTCACTATTTGATGTTTTTGTTGTAGTGTTTGCACTAGTCCTATTTTAATTATCTCCAGTTATGTACTGATCCTGTTTGTTTATTTTATTTTATCTCCAGTCTTGCACTGGTTCTTTTTTAATTATCTCTAGTTATGTACTGGTCTTGTTTGTTTATTTTATTTTATCTCCAGTCTTGCACTAGTCCTATTTTAATTATCTCCAGTTATGTGCTGGTCTTGTTTGTTTATTTTATTTTATCTCCAGTCTTGCACTGGTCCTATTTTAATTATCTCCAATTATGTACTGATCCTATTTGTTTACTTTATTTTATCTCTAGTAATGCAACAATCCTATTTATTAATATATAGTTATATTATTTAATTATAATAATATCTATTTGTGAAGATTTGATGATATTGTAGATGAAGGTTAGACCTTGGGGATTTAAATGAGTAAATATCACTGTGAGAGTGATTGAAATTGGGCTCATTTATCCTGACTAGTCACTACAAATTTAATTTAAATCTTCATAAAATAGAATGTATTGAGGAAGTTGAAACATATATATCTATATATTATAAGATTGTATTATTGTAAATGATAAATGTTCTCACTCCCTATTGTGATCTTTTGTGCATATTTTATTTAAACACCAACTTAAGTAGATGGAGACGCCAAATATTCCAAATCCATTTTCTGCAAGCATCACTGCCTTCTTTCCAGGAACTACTTGGAACATGAATGTTATAGACAACTCGGTTACTTTTAGAGGGACGATATTATTAATAATAACATTTGTATCTAATATGGGAAATCCCATTATGTTAGATGAACCATTAGTGGTTACCTTTTGTATGCCTCCTACCTTTTTCCAAAACCCCTTAATCAGTTTGTTTCCACCGACAATGTAGATATTTGTAAACTTGTAGAAAAAATAGAAGGAATCAAAAATAAAATTCTTTCTTCTTTTGTATATCTTATATATATATATATATATTGATGTAAATTACTTTTACATATATGTAATATTTTTTTTTGACCTGCTACTCTTATACAAATAATAATAATAAGAAAAATAAATGTCACATTATATGGTATCAGAGCAACATTCATGTGTGACCTGTAAAATGAGTCTATCATGATATCTTATGAATCCTAACTTATATAATTCCGGATGGCAAATAATAGAAGGAACAACGAGTTGACGAAGCGGTACAAGCTATTTGAGACATGACCGCTGCATTATTAAGGAACCAAAGACCTGAAGGAACCAATGGATCACAAGATTTAGTTGAATTTAGGAGAAACAAACCTCCACAATTTTCTAGAGGTTATAACCCAGAAAAGACTGAATTATGGATTAAAGAATTGGAAAAAATATTTCAAGTTATGAATTGTCTTGATGACCAAAAGGTAAATTATGCTGTGTTTATGTTGATAGGAGAGGCTGAATATTGGTGGGATAGTACCAGGAGATTACTAGAAGGAGGAAGAGTGATCATTACTTGGGAGGTGTTTA